TCAGGAACCCTTACAGAAGCCGTCAGGGGAAGTCTGCCAGGAACCTTTAATGCAACTCTAACCCCAAACCCTAAACCCTAAACCCTATAAACCCTATAAACCCTATAAACCCTAAACTCCTATAAACCCTATAAGCCCCATAAATTCTATGAACCCTCGAAACCCTAAACCCTAAACCCTACACCCTTAAATCCTAAACCCTAAACTCAAAAACCCGTAAACCGTAAACCCCTAACCCCATAAACCTAAACCCTAAACTCAAAAACCCTAAACCCTAAACCCCTAACCCCATAAACCCTAAGTACTTTAGAGCTCATGGCCGGAGGTGAGAGTCGGCGATGGACAACAGCTTCTGCACCTGTACTGTAGGGGCCTTACGAATTAGAATAGGGTTTTTGTCCGGGGAAAGGGTTCCTTTAAAGGGTTCTATAAGGGCTACTATAAGGGCTTAGGGTTTAGGGGCCTTGATAAATCGAATTGGGTTTTGGGGGTTCCTTAGTTTTACTTAGAGTAAAATATATACCCCATAATTATAGTATAGTATACTCCCAAACCATATTCTAATTACCAAGGCCCCTAAGCCCCAAGCCCTTACAGTAGCCCCTATAGAACCCTTTGAAGAAAATTCGTAATATAATATCCCCCAAACCCTACTCAACTTATTCAGGCCCCTATATTATAGAACCCAATTATAGATCCCTTATAGAAGCCTTTAAAGAACCCTTAAAGGAACCCCCCAAAAAACCTATTCTAATGACTCAGGCCCCTGTATGAAGTTTTCAGAGCAGAAGTCGTGTGATCAGGCCTACTAAATGAACGACGCCGCTTCCAGCGCAGTCGTGGTAGTAGTAGTCCTGTGGTAGGGCTTTATTCTTTTAGGGTTTCGGGTTTAGGGTTTAGGGGTTTTAGGGTTTAGGGTTTTGGGCTTTAGGGTTTAGGGTTTAGGGTTTTAGGGTTTTAGGGTTTTAGGGTTTAGGGTTCAGTCCTGTGGCTGAAGATTTCAAGGAAGAGTTGGACGCTATCGGCTTTAATCCGGAAGACCGTTGACCTTTGCCCTAGCTGGCACCCCAACGGCTTAGGGTTTAGGGTTTAGGGTTTAGGGTTTAGGGTACAAACAAAACCTGAAACCCGTTCAAGCCCTACTAAAGCCTTCCTGAAAGCCTAGATCGCAGAAATCTGCCACTCGATAGAGTTAGCATGAGGGTGACTCATCAGGTGTCCTATAGAGGGGTAGGGTTTAGGGTTTAGGGTTTAAAGTTTAGGGTTGGTACTGCAAAGGCTTCTACAAGAGAAGTAAACGTCATTTGTCGGCTTTCCCGCTGTCCTTCTGCATGATGTCCATCATGACCTTCCTCATGAAGCCTGAGTTATTATGGCTCCAGGCTAGCAAGATGTCACTTAAAGGCTTAAGGGACCGAGTATGTAGCTAAGGCATCACATGGGTAGGAAAGGGTTTAGGACTTTCGGATCAGGGAACTTGGTGAGCAGGGTGAGAAGTGAGGTAACTATAGTTACTCTCTATAGTTATATCCCCAGTTGAGGTCCTACTTGCTACGTACCCTGATCCACTAAGTATGCAAAGGAAGACAGGCTCGGGAGGAGGGGGGTCAGGCATCTACGACTAGCAGTATCAGCTTATCATAACCATGGAAGTGGAAGCAGCAGGCATGAGGCTCCGAGAACCCGAACCCCCCCCCAAAAAAAAAAAAAAAAGGTAACCTGCCAGTTTTTCTACTTGGGGGTTCATGGGTAGTTATAAATGAAGCTACATAAGTAAGGTAACTATACTTGTAACACATATTATTAGGGGACTTAAAACCCCACTTATAACTTATAACTACCCATGAACCTCCAAGTAGGGTTATACAAGGAGGCCGGAGGGTCAAGGCTTGGCTACCCAGCCCCTAAGAGAAGACTGATAACATGTGGAGGTCGGGGGTCTGAGTGTGGGAATCCGGAAACTCTAAACCCTAAACCCT